CTTTGAGGGCCTTTTGGGGTGTTTGCTTTCCATATTTGGTTTCAGATGCTGTAGACTATCACACATGCTTTGCTACATATATTATCTCCATATAAGTATTTTGCTTAACCATGTAAATATATTTTCACCTGTCTCTCCTCAGTGAGAATGCCCAGGAGGTACTATAAAACTATTCTTTTGTGAATTTTTATTATAACAGAAGGGATCATGATGATGCCAATATCTTTTGCAGTGGGTAGATATTTCTCAGATATACTCTGTTCAAGCTTGTCATTCGGGCCATTATTATGACTCATCAGGAAAACCCCAGATAGCTATTATAGTATTATAGCCCATATAGCACTATATAGGCTCTTATAGCTGGTATAGCTGGTATAGTTGTGTCGACAAGTCCCTATTATATAGCTCTATATAGCTGGGCTTCAGCATTATCAGCTATGATAACTCATAGATCCCCTATCCAAACAGGTGTTTATTTTGTCAACTATACAAGACAAGGCTGGCTATATTGTCTTGTATAGCTCAATGTAGATATAACAGTTTCACCACACTTTCAGAAAAATACATATTTATGACCACTACCATAGCCAAATACATCTACCGCTGTTACAAGTGTTGTTTTCGTTGCAATGCATTTTCTTAATGATTATCATAGTCAAATACATTTATTACTATCACAATTTGATTTCAAAGCACTGAAACTATTATTTCTCTATGATATTAAATACAACATCAAGCAATTATAGAGTCCTCTAAAACTGTAAATTTAACCTCATCATCTGATTCAATGCTTTGATCCTTTATATATTGGAGATTGCATTGGTCCCTGTTAAAAGATATGTGTTGAAAAAAATCAAAACTAAATGTCCTTATGATAATGTACAAGACACCATCGTATAGGTAAAGACTCAGCAAGTCCTCTTCTAGTGTCTACCAACATTAGTATGACAAGTTCCCTCCCTTGACCATTTATTCCTTGAGTTGTAGCCTTTGAGGTTTTGCTCCGGTGCCTCTTTACCCATATATTGCTCCAGTATATACCCCTTAAGCTGCAGAGAGTTTGTTGGTATGCAACAGGAGGACTCGCTAAGGAGTCTCCTTGATCTATTGGGGTATATATACTACTACAGGTTGTTTGTACATGTGCACTATACAGTTGATAGAGACAGTGGCTGATGATGTCATGGGGCCTAGCCCGCATGGCCAGCTCCACTGTGTGAGAGAGTTGTGTCTAAAATAAGAAGAAAGGCAATGTGGCGTGAGAAAGAGGAGTTTGGACAAAAGGTGAAGTGCCACGTGGCACCATGTGTGAAAGCTTTAAAGTACAAGGTTAAAGCAGAGAATGAAAATAAAGGAAAGGTCCAAAAATTGTGTTATTGTAACACTACCCCCCTTCCAAGGCTCGACTTCCAGGCGAGACCAAATACCGGAGGTAGTGGTTAAATTTTTGGGCATAGTTTGAAAAAGAGAATTAAAAAATTTTGAATCTATGCCTCTAAGCTTCCTAGGAGCTGAGGGATTCTTAGAATAAAATTTGCAAACAGCGTCACGGGAGTGATCCAGATGGGCTTCTGGCTCCCATGTTCTGTCCTCGTCTCCATAGCCCCTCCATAGGACTAGGAATTCTAATTTTCCACGCTTCAAGCGTGCATCCACCACTCGTTCAACTTTGAACTCTTCTTCACCTTCCTGGGTGACTACAACCGGTCCGGGCCGTTCTATACGCTGTCCTGGCAGTGGCCCTTTGTAGGGTTTTACACGGCTAATATTGACCATGGGTACTACCCTCATTCGTTTTGGGAGTTCCAGCTCCACTGCATTGGGTTTGACTTCCTTAATCCGGTAAGGACCAATCCACTTTTTGGTCAGTTTTCTAGACTGCTGATCTTTTAATTTTAAGTGGTCGGTATCTAACCAGACCAAGTCGCCAACCTTGTAATCAGGGGCCTTAGAGTGTTTACGCTCTGCCCTGTCTTTCATCTGCTCTGCAGTTTTGAATAGTGCTTTGCGCGTTTTGTCTAAGACAGACTTCATGTCCTTTGCCATGTTCCCAGCAGCCTCGTTCTTGCTTTTGCCAGGTTCTACACCCATTCTGGGGAGGTACAATCTAGTAACCTCAAATGGTGATTTTCCTGTAGCCAATGACTGTTTGATATTATAAAAGAACTGGACTATATTTAGCCACTTGGCCCAATCCGTCTGTCTGTCATTAATAATTATCCGGAGATATTGTTTCAACTCCTGGTTGAGTCTCTCCGTTTGTCCATCAGTCTGCGGATGGAACACCGTTGATAATTTAGGTTTAATGCCCAGCATCTTGCATAATTCTTTCGTAAATTTGCTAGCAAATTGTGGTCCTCTATCGGAGATAACCGTTTCTGGTAACCCATGGATAGACCATACAAAATTTTTAAATAAATCTGCTGTACCGGTGGCAGTAATGGTTTTATTGGTAGGTATGAATACTACTTCTTTGGAGAAGCGATCAACTACCACCATTACTGAATCATACCCATTTGACTCGGGCAGATCCGTCATCAAATCAACCAATATATCCTGCCAGGGGCCAGCTGGTATTGGATTTGGCATAAGTTACTGGCTGGCGGTTGATGAGAATTATTAGCCATGGCACATCTCAGACAGGATTTTACGTATTCCTGTACGTCTTTGACTATGCCAGGCCACATGTAGTTTCTGGAGATCAACTCCATCGTTCGTTGCCACCCAGGGTGCCCAGCCACTGGAGTGTCATGGTGTCTATCTAGTGCCTTGATCCTTGCAGACTCAGGCACATAGATTTTGCTTTTAAAATAGAAGAGCCCGTCTTCCCATAGATAGTTTTCATTGCCATCAAGGCGTGTCTTCTCTTCTGAGGAGATGTCTTTCCTGAAGACTTCCAGAAGATCGGAATCCTGCCCAATTCTAACATTGGCAACCCTTGATTTGTCTATCAAGGTAACACCTTTGTTATCATCTTCTATGCCGTTGGCATGATCCTCTCTCCTGGATAAAGTGTCTGCTTTCCCCATAGAGCTTCCAGGCTTATGAATTAGTTTATAATTAAACCTTGACAAGTACACCATGTAGCGGGTTTGTCTTTGGTTTAGGTCTTGGGCCGTCATAAAGTACTCCAGATTCTTATGATCGGTCCAAATTTCAAATTGATGCCTAGCACCTTCTAAGTAGTGCTGCCAGTGCTCTAAGGCTCTAATAATGGCTAGCATCTCTTTGTTGTAAATTTGATAGTTGCGCTCTGTAGGCAACAAACTATGCAATAAATAGGCACAAGGCCTCCAAAGATCGTCAGGGCATTTAATTGACAGAACAGCCCCAGTAGCAAAATCAGAAGAGTCGGTTTCTAGCCGGAACTCTTTGTCTAATTCTGGAAATGCTAGTATGGGCGCTGTTGTAAATGCCTGTTTAAGCTTATCAAAAGCTTCTTGTTCCTTGTGCCCCAATGCCAAACAATGTCCTTTTTAGTGAGATCGTTCAACGGTCTTGTGATTTTTGCGAAATTTTCAATGAATCTTCAGTAGAAATTGCCTAAGCCAAGGAAGGCCCTAACTCCTTTGACGCGAGTAGGTTCTGGCCAATCCAAGATAGCTTGAACTTTCTCAGGATTCATCCTGATTCCATTCTGGCCTATAATCATACCGAGGAAGTCTACTTCCTTCACTTTAAAATTACATTTTTCGGGTTTGATGAATAGGTCCCGTTCCTGTAAGCGTCGAAGGACTTCTTGCACGATCCTGTCATGCTCAGCCTCATCGTCCTACTTCTTAAATATTAATAAATTGTTAATGTAGATGACGACACAGTTTTCCATATCCGCAAAGATCTCATTCATCATACTCTGGAAGGTCGCCGGTGAATTGGTCAACCCAAAGACTCAACAAGTCCTCTTCTAGTTTTGGTGGCACGTGAACGCGGCCTTCCAAGCATCTTCTTCTTTGATTCATATGTTATTGTACCCCCATCTGAGATCCATCTGGACATATGCTAGACATCAGACTTTAAACTTTATTTACAACTGTATAGGACCTCATGTATTGTAGTATATATTGTTACAATAACACAATATTTGGACCTTTCCTTTATTTTCATTCTCCGCTTTAACCTTGTACTTTAAAGCTTTCACACATGGTACCACGCGGCACTTCCCCTTTTGTTCAAACTCCTCTTTCTCGCGCCGCGTTGCCTTTCTTCTTATTTTAGACACAACTCTCTCACACAGTGGAGCTGGCCATGCGGGCTAGGCCCCATGACATCATCAGCCACTGTCTCTATCAACTGTATAGTGCACATGTACAAACAACCCTGTAGTAGTACATATACCCCAATAGATGCAGGAGACCCCTCAGCAAGTCCTCCTGTTGCATACCAACAAACTCTCTGCAGCTTAAGGGGTAACCACTCCCTCATCACTACCTTTATAGTGTGTTCTTGTGTGTGCCAGAGTAAATAACTCTTGGTTGTTACATTAGGACTTGCTCCTCTATACTCTCTTGCACATTGTGCAAAAAGTCCCACTGGGCACCCGGACTCCAGGGTGAAGGAGATTTGGTTATTGGCTGGGAATATCCCGCATAGCAGATAGGTGCACTCCTAGCGACAGCCTTGTAGTGCTTTGGGAGAAGAACCAATACCTGTGATACGCGGCCCCCAGCATTAAGGGGAGTACTATAGCTCAGCAGTTGGTGTGGAACCACTATTGATTAGAATTTAGAATACAAAACTTCTTCTTCAAATACCTCTGACCAGGCCGGGCACTTGCCTCCGCCAGTCTGGAGAAGGGTTGACAGCTTAACAAGCGGACCACCCCCTGACAACTGTTTGGACCAGGGTTTTGTACAAATACCTTTTATATACATTTTCAAATACTATAGTGTGGGTAGTCGGAGATTGAGATCCAATACTCAGCAGGGAAGAGGTAGATCCGCAGATAGCAAGCGGGGACCCCCTGTTACATTTTTTTTACTTTACCAAGAGAACAAGTCGACATGTCGTTGCAAACCCCTGACGTCAATGCTCTGTTGCACAATATGCATGCACAGATCCTGGCGTTGACCACGCAACTCGCTGAGCAGCAGGCAAATCCCCCTGTGGCAACCCCCTCGGTTGAGAAAAAGTTCAACAAGAAAGTCGAAGTCGTGGCTGACCCTGGCGCTTCGAAGGAGACAGAGCACAATTTGCCGAATAGTGGATCAAACTGCAAATTTAGGTCAAGGCAAATTGGGATGCATTTGCCGACAATTTTGAGGTAGCCACTGCGGTGCTATCTCGACTAAAGGGACCTGTGGTGGGTCAATACGCTCAAGTTAGAATGCAGGAGTGCTACACTGTGGGAGTGTGGCCCACCTGGGACAATCTCAAGGTAGAGATCGAAAAATACTTCAAACTGCAAGCTGAGCGTGATTGGGCGCGTCAGCAAATCCGTTCCTTCAAACAAGGCAACATGAGGATGAATGATTTCATAACCCGGTTCCTGGCCCTCTCCATCCAAGGGGGTCTTGGAAATGAACATGCAGTGGAGCTGCTGGAACGCAATGTGAACCCCCACATTGCAGAACAGCTTTACCTGCAGGATATGAGAAGTGAGAACCTCTCCGAAGCAGCGGAGGAGGTTTGAAAGATAGGTAGGGCCATAGAGCTCTACAAGATGCACCAAGGTGGCGGGTCCACCACCAAAAACAACTCTTCCCAGAGGCACCCTGGGTCATCAAACCAAAAACAACATCACTCTCACGGGTTCCAGCCATTTGGGCTGCAACCAGGTCGGGGTGCTCCAATGGATATTGGCGCGGTCCAGGGCGGACAAAAGCACAGATTCACCTGCTTCAACTGTGGGCAGGAGGGGCATATGGCACAAGATTGTAGAAATGGAGCGCAGGCCACTGGTCAAAAAAATAATCAAGGGCGCCAGGCGCGCCAATCAGAATCCGAAAAACTGGACGATCGGCTCAACTCTTTGGCCAGTTGTTCTTACGACGAAATACGGGCCTTCTTCTATGACCAACAAATCAATGAGATGAAGGCTCAGGGAAAAGAGTTCGGAGCTTAGGTCACTTGGGTGCCTTTGCTCCTATAAACAATGAAGTAAACCACAACAAAGTGGCCCCTGTTCCAGGGTGTTGCACGAGCAATAATGGAAAGAAAGGGATGGCTCCCTTATTTGTAAATAAATTTCTAAATTTGTTATCTGAAACCTGTACCTGTATGAAGCATTGTGACTGTAATATTGATTCTGGTAAAAATAAAATAGAAAAACATGTTTATTTCAATACTTCTTCTTCTTTGGAGCCACCCTTTCCCGGAATCCCAAGGCGTGTGTTGATGTGCATGTATTTATTCCAAAAGGAGATCTGTTTAGACGTTGGTGTGGAAAACCTTGCCCGGGGCATAGTACACCCAACAAGTGCACTGCTTGATTCAGGCGCTAACAGAATCTTCATAGACCAGGTCTGGGCGGAGCAGATTGGACTCCCCCTTGTAAAATTAGATGTATCTATTCCCGTTTATAACATTGACGGTACGCTTAACGCAGGTGGCTGTATCACACACAAATGTTCTTTTGTTGTCAAATACCAAGGACACAGAGAACGAGTCACTGCCGAAGCTACCCAACTAGGGAAGATTAATTTAATCTTGGGCTGGACCTGGCTATTTAAACACAATCCTGAGACCGACTGGCAGATAGGGGTTGTTACATTGTCACGTTGCAGGAATGAATGAGCTTGGGTAAACTGAATCACGTCCATCACAATGAGTGTCTTGAAAAGATAAACGCTGGTCACGTTTATGAGCTCAGATCTTTAGAAAAGATCGACAATGACAATGATGAGGTAAAACCCAAGGAAGAGATTAAGAGGCTGGTACCTCCCGAGTGCCATGATTTCTGGAAAGTCTTTTCTAAACATAAGTCAGAACACTTCCCAGAGGCTAAGCCTTGGGGCCATGCTATAGACTTGAAGGACACTTTCAAATCGAGAAAAGGACATATGATACCGCTCTCTGCTCCAGAAAGAGATGAGGTTTCTAGCTTCATAGATAAGCAGCTTAGGAAGGGTTACATCAGACCTTCCAAAAGCCCTATGACGTCCCCGGTGTTCTTCATTCCTAAAAAGGATGGTAAGAAGCGTTTTATTATGGACTATTGTTACGTGAATGAGCACACAGTTAAAAATGTGTATCCGCTGCCTTTGATCAGTCAGCTAGTAGACAAATTGGCTGGTGCCAAGACCTTGACAAAGATGGATCTCAGATGGGGGTACAATAACATATGAATCAAAGAAGAAGATGCTTGGAAGGCCGCGTTCACGTGCCACCAAAAATCCTTTGAACCCCTTGTTATGTTCTTTGGGTTGACCAATTCACCGGCGACCTTCCAGAGTATGATGAATGAGATCTTTGCGGATATGGAAAACTGTGTCGTCATCTACATTAACAATTTATTAATATTTAAGAAGTAGGACGATGAGGCTGAGCATGACAGGATCGTGCAAGAAGTCCTTCGACGCTTACAGGAACGGGACCTATTCATCAAACCCGAAAAATGTAATTTTAAAGTGAAGGAAGTAGACTTCCTCGGTATGATTATAGGCCAGAATGGAATCAGGATGAATCCTGAGAAAGTTCAAGCTATCTTGGATTGGCCAGAACCTACTCGCGTCAAAGGAGTTAGGGCCTTCCTTGGCTTAGGCAATTTCTACTGAAGATTCATTGAAAATTTCGCAAAAATCACAAGACCGTTGAACGATCTCACTAAAAAGGACATTGTTTGGCATTGGGGCACAAGGAACAAGAAGCTTTTGATAAGCTTAAACAGGCATTTACAACAGCGCCCATACTAGCATTTCCAGAATTAGACAAAGAGTTCCGGCTAGAAACCGACTCTTCTGATTTTGCTACTGGGGCTGTTCTGTCAATTAAATGCCCTGACGATCTTTGGAGGCCTTGTGCCTATTTATTGCATAGTTTGTTGCCTACAGAGCGCAACTATCAAATTTACAACAAAGAGATGCTAGCCATTATTAGAGCCTTAGAGCACTGGCAGCACTACTTAGAAGGTGCTAGGCATCAATTTGAAATTTGGACCGATCATAAGAATCTGGAGTACTTTATGACGGCCCAAGACCTAAACCAAAGACAAACCCGCTACATGGTGTACTTGTCAAGGTTTAATTATAAACTAATTCATAAGCCTGGAAGCTCTATGGGGAAAGCAGACACTTTATCCAGGAGAGAGGATCATGCCAACGGCATAGAAGATGATAACAAAGGTGTTACCTTGATAGACAAATCAAGGGTTGCCAATGTTAGAATTGGGCAGGATTCCGATCTTCTGGAAGTCTTCAGGAAAGACATCTCCTCAGAAGAGAAGACACGCCTTGATGGCAATGAAAACTATCTATGGGAAGACGGGCTCTTCTATTTTAAAAGCAAAATCTATGTGCCTGAGTCTGCAA